AGTCTGGATCCAGAACACCTGAGAAGAGATGATGCCAACCCCTCAGAGGACCTCAGATGATGCCAACCCTGAAACAACTTACAGAACTACCACATTTTGCTATAAGTTTGATTGCATCATATAATAATTGCTGTTAATAGTGTTCATCGGCTGTTTGATTACGTCTTTAATTGATTTTCCGTACATGTCTGCCATATGTACATTAACTGACAGTCACCACTGATAAGCTACTACTAAATATATTGTAGAAACTTAATTTTCTGTACTAAATATATTGTAGAAACTTAATTTTCTGTACTAAATATATTGTAGAAACTTAATTTTCTGTACTAAATATATTGTAGAAACTTAATTTTCTGTACTAAATATATTGTAGAAACTTAATTTTCTGTAAAGTTGCTTTGCAACGATTTGTATCGTGAAAAGCGCTATACAAATAAACTTGAATTGAATTGAATTCGAAAATTACATTCACTTGTTTTACATTGTTACTCTAATATAATTTATTTGCTATTTTTCTTAGTTTTACACATTTATTTATAAATTTTTTTGGAACCACCACACGATCCACTCCAGTGAATTTAAATTGCTTAATAGTGAAGTTGTGGCTTTGACCATGTTATTTTTACAAGCACACAGAAATAATCACATGTGCCTCACCCTCCCCAGTTGCTCTTATGAAACAGAAATTGTTGTGTTTTTTTTTTTCACATGTCTGATACCTCATTTTCACTGCACACTTCTGCGGCGTGTTACGGCTCTGACATGGCCACCGGAGCTGATTGTGGCCACTCTAGTCAATGCTTGTTTACACCAGCTGCACCGCAGAATGGTCCAGAAGAGGCTCCCCGTGCCGCTTCGCTAAAGATAGGCCACCGTGTCCAAGCCAAGCCACACAGTAAATACAAAATAAAAGTTTCCTTTCAATTTCAAAATAAACACCCTGTGCAGACTCCCGGTCATATTTCACATCACTATATCGTTGCCAGGAGGCCAGAAATGGATGATGAGAGTTTCATCCTCGAAGCTGAAAAACACACAGTTATATGACACCACAAATCCTTTTTACAGGGACAGTTCCAAAAAGGACAAGCAATTGAGTTTTTAATTGCAGGAGTCGTAAGAGTGGAATAAACAGAATTAAACCATTCAAAACATAAACATTTAGCCAAGCATGTTAGAACACAAAAAATTAAGAAAAAGAACAGCGGACAGGCAAATCATGTGGTCTCGCGAATCCTGTCGCTTCACTTCTGAAATGCTCCTGGTGTGAGTTGGCACCGCGTGGAGGACGGAACAAAACCTCATCGGAACCGTAATGTGCCGCAGATGCATGCAGTGTAATCACACCACGAGACCACGTGATTTGACTGTCCGACGTGGTTTTTCTTGATTTTGGGGGTTCTATCAATGTTTAATTTGGCTAAATGTTTTGTCCGGTTTAAATGTGTTTATTGCAATATCCTACTTCGTTGTGCTGTGTAATAGAGCTACTTCAAATTCCAGTTATGTTCAAGTTAAAGATTTGTAGCTGTGTTTTAGTCGTTTAAAAAACACCCTCAATTACCTTGTATCTATATTTCACATACAGTGCCTGTGAGCAGGAGGTGAACACTGGCATTTGTTCTCCTACTGGAAAGTCTACAGAGCATTTTAAGCATTATTAAAACAGTACAAATACAAGTAAATATTGTTGATCCTAATAAGGCCACATATTAAGGTCTGGGTAGATTAAATGGTAAGCAAACGATCAGTTGTCATAATTTGTTGGATGCAGGAGAAATGGGTAGGAATTAAGATTGAGCAGATTGCTAGTGGGTTGCTCATGGTCAGCAGTGGCAGCGAGGGTGGGCACCCAAGGCTCATTGATGCATGAGGCAACAAAGGCTATCCCGTCTGGTCTGAGCCAACAGAAGGTCTACTGTGGCACAAGTCACACAAAATTTTAATGATGGTTATGGGAGGAATGTGTCATAACACAGTGCATCGCCCTCTGCTGCATATGGGGCTGTGTAGCCGCAGACCAATCAGAGTGCCTACAATGACCCATGTCCCTCATTGAAAGCACCTACAATGGGCACTTGAGCGTCAGACCTGGACATTGGAGTAGTGGTAGAAGGTCGCCTCATATGTTTAGTCCAGTTTTCTTTTACATCACATGGACAGCTGTACTGTATGTGTGCGCCTTTTACCTGGGGACGTGATGGCACCAGGATGCATAGGGAGATAATGAAAAGCCAGTGGAGGGAGTGTGATGCACTGGGCAATGTTTAGCTGAGAAACCCTGGCCATTCATCGTGGACGTAAATTTGACATGTGCTACCTACCTAAACATTGTTGCAAACCAGGTACACCCCTTCATGACAATAATGTTCCCTAGTGGAGGTGGCTTCTTTGAGCAGGATAATGTACCCTGCTGCAATGCACACATTGGGCCTCATTCATGAAACTTGTAAATTCGGAGTAATTTGAGCGTAAAACAGACCTTCCCGAAAACTCTCCTCTGGATTCACAAACGCTTCATAAACGTCCGATTTGATATTTAAACATGTATGTTAATGAATCCCAATCATTCGTAAATAGGGCGCGTGTGCACGCTCATTCACAATTAGCATAATACCCGCCTATGAATTACAGCTAAGCAAATTGCGTGTCCAGGAACGCAGTGGAATATTCTGGTCTACTTTCTCAGGTTTGGCTCCAGTATATTGCATAAATGCAAAAAAGACTAATAGGCCATATGCCTAATAATAATATTCAATAACGTGTGTCCACCAAAGAGTTTTTAGCAAGCTGAAAAAATGGCAGGCGCTCTTCTTAAAACGACCTGCTGGTGGCGCTGGAAACACGTTGGTGGCACAGTGTTTTTCCAGCTGAGACACTTTGGTTGCTATGATTTGGAATATCCATGGCAGTAACTTATTACTATCTCATTTTTAATAATTTTACTAAATATGAAAAAGCATTAACCAGTAGAGAAAAAAGTGTTTATTATGTTTGAAATATGGATATTTATCTTACAAAAATGCATGGATTCGCTACAGGAGGCCTTTATTCACCCCTGGAGTCATGTGAGGGACGTTTTATTACGGATGTGCGCACTTTATTTCACGTCTTCTGAACTGTTGACAACCAACACCTGCTTACCCCCATTGAAAG